TGTCTGCACGCTGCCATGCTTCTTGCCATGACGTGGCTCATGACTTGTTATCTCATTTTTACATGTCCTGTTCGCCTGGCTGGTGTCTCTTCTAACTCTGCCCTCCTTCTTCCCATCATCCTCAGTTTGGCTTTCCTGCCTAATTTCCTCCCCAGTTACTGGCCTGTCAGCTTTTTATTAACCAATGAGAGTAATACATATTCATAGTGTAGAAAAGGATTGTTCTGGGCTGAGCAGTGGTGGTGCACGCCTTTAATCCCAGCACTCAGGAGGCAGAGCCAGGCAGATCTCTGCGAGTTCGAGGCCAGCCTGGTCTACAGAGTGAGATCCAGGACAGGCACCAAAATTATACAGAGAAACCCTGTCTCAAAAAAACAAAAACAAAAACAAAAAGAAAAAAAGAAAAGAAAAAGAGTTGTTCCACAGCAGATGATAGTGGACTAAACCTCTGAATTGTAAGCCAGCCCCAATTAAATGTCTTCCTTTATAAGAGTTGTCATGGTCATGATGTTTCTCCACAGCAACAGAGACCCTAAGACAGTAATACATCTAAGGTCACACAGACAGTTGCCCATGTCATAACTAAGGCAAACTCCTGTCTTCAAGACCCAAGTGTTTTCATTTCCTATGGTCCACATCTTTGTGTCCTTTCTTCTGGAAGACAAAAAGGGCCATGGAGAGGATGCTTTCCTCTGTGGCCTTGGGAGGTTGCCTCCCCTTCCAGGGGCTCTCAGCATCCATGTCCACCAGATGAGAGGGCTGAGCTCATTGTTTCCTGTGCTGCTGAACCCCAGCATCCTGCCTGGGGTCTGAGTTTGGGCAGGAGGCCTAGAGGGCAGATGGCTAGGACATAAGACCTCCGTGGCCTCAGAGCGATGGGCTATTGCCACACTCCAGGGCAGGTCAGCAGCTCTGCACACACCCCAACAGGAGAGCAGACTGCCTGGAGGAGGGGGTGGAAGGCAGGCAGTTTTATCAGCCCCGCTCACTCCACCTCCCTCCAAGAACTCAGGCCATGAGCATCATGGAAACATCTCCAGTTTCAGGAGTCCACAGCAGCCCTGGGCTCCAGGGAGCTGCCTTCTCCCCTTCACGTTCTTCTCCCCAAGCATGTTCGGCTTGAAGCTTCCATCTGGGCTCACTGCTGCTGGGTTCCAGGTTTGAGCTGGGGCTGTTGCCAGGATCTCCACGGCACACCTTCCTGCCCACTAGGCATCTCTGCCTCCTCCACCACTCCCTAGGACCCCACACTGTCCACTCACCTCTCCTCTCAGGAACAGCATCTTGCCAAGGAGCCCTGGTGGGCCCAGGCAACCTCGGGGTGGGGGGTGGGGGGTGGGGGTGGGGTGTGTGTGTGTGCAGGACCCCTGGCCCCACCCACCCGCCCCACCCCCTCTGCCTTCCAGTCCCATGGGCAGGGGAGGGAGGGTTACTTTCCAAAGCCCTCCTCTGGGACTTCTGCCCCCTTCCCAAGCCTCACAGAGGAGACGGTTTAGGGGCCCTTCAGCCTCTCCACCACCCTGTTGCCATTTAAGGAAACTGTGGGCCAGCCGTAGACTAGATCAGGCTGGGGTGAGACAGGAAGGCGGGATTTCAAGCTCCTGAGCCCCCGTGAGTGTGAGCTTCAACTCCTGACCCTCCAGATAACAATGAGTCCTCTGTCCGCATATTTGCTTCCCAAAGCAAACTGAGGCAAATCAGAGACTTGCCCAGGGTCCTCCAACGGGCACCCACTATCACGAGGGGTTCCTGTCTAAATACCTTCTTATTCTGAATTCACAGCATGGCAGGCATTACTAGTGGATCGCAGCGTTCTTTCATCTTTAAACCTAGATGCAACCTCAGAATCCCTCACATGGCCTCAACCAACTGTGGACAGGGCACTAACAGTGTCTTCCTGGGCTATGGATTTCATGGTTCTAACACCTGCGCCCAGGACAAGCCAGACACTTCCGTTTTGTTTTGTTTTTGTTTTTCTGGTATTTACTTAATTGTTTGTTTATTATTTGAGACAGGGTCTCTCTATATAGCCCTGGCTGTCTTGGAACTCACTCTGCATACCAGGTTGGCCTTAAATTCAGAGATCCACCTGCCTCTAACTCCCAAGTGCTGGGGATTAAAGGCGTGCTGCGCCACCACCATCCCACTGTTTTTTTTTTTTTTTCTTTCTCTCTCTCTTCCTTTCATTCTTTTTTTCTTTCTTTCTTTTGTTTCTCGAGACAGAGTTTCCCTGTGTAGCCCTGGCTGTCCTGGATCTTGCTCTGTAAACCAGGCTGGCCTTGAACTCACAGAGATCCACCTGCCTCTGTCTCCTAAGTGCTAGGATTAAGGGCATGTTCCACAACCCAGTACAGACCATTTTCTTAAAGAGAAACATTTTAAGTGTTCATGAATAGTGTCACTTCAGAGCTACTTTGTTGCCATGGAGTTTCATGACATCAATAACAGCAGTGTCCCAACAGCCATGGGTGCCAGGGTCCCCAAGGCATCTCATCCGACCTGATGGACACTCTCGGGGTGTGACATCTTCCCAGGGTCATATACCCCAAGGCTGGCCCTGGCTCCTGCTCTGTCCGGTGCTCTGCTCGTTCCTCCCATGTCCTTCCATGACTCCGTCTGTATTCTCTCTGTGGCCAGGCTCCACCTCAGCTCAGTGGCTGAGGTCTGGGCCAGTCAGAGTGGCCCTGGGCCTTAGAGCAGAGCTTTGGGACTCCTATGGGTTCTTGGACGAATGCTTACTTTGGGGTACTTATCCTGCGTAGAGCAATAGAACTGCAGGGACGCTACAGCCCATCTCTTCTGCTGTGATGTGAATGCAGTCATACATGTTGGGACGTGGTCTACTTATGACGGGAGTGTTAGGAGGTAGTATTAGGGCTTGGCAGGTAAAGGAGCTTGCTACCACACCTGGCAGCCTGAGTTCAATTCCCCAAAACCCACATGGTGGAAGGAGAGATCCATTTCCTGAAATTTGTCTGCTGACTGTCACATGTGGCATGTGTGTGTGTGTGTGTGTGTGCACCACCAGCGCGTGTGCTCACACGTGCGCGCGCGCGCGCGCACACACAGAGGAAACAAAATTCCTTTATCAAGGTGGTGTTAGGGAGTGGCACTTTGAGACTTTTGGGGGTTAGGGCTTGAGAGGGCTCCCCCTCACAAATGGATTAGTCCTCATAAAAGTGGCTGGAGATGACAAGGACACCCATCCCTCTGTATAATTAATATGCACTAATAAAAAAACAAAAAGACCCGAGGGACCAAGGAGTGGCTCCCACGCCCCTGTAATCCCAGGAGGCTGGGGCACGAGGATGGTGAGTTCAAGGCCAGACTTGGCTACACCGTGAGTGTCTGTCTGAAGGAAAGGAAAGAAAAAGGAGAGGAGGAAGGGGAGGTTCGAAGGGGTTCGCTCCCCTCCTCACCGCACTCAAGCATGGCTAGAAGGCCCCACGTATGAGAACAGGGCCTGACTAGACCTGGAATATGCCTGCACCTTGATCTTGGGGTCCCTTGCCCCCAGAACTGTAGAAAATACATTTCTGCTGGCTGGACCTTACCTAGAGTAAAGCTTTTTGTCACAGCAGGCTGACTGACAGAGATCAGGAGAGGGTGGCCCAGAAGGGCAAGGATCTGACTGGGCGCCCTGAGGCGTGGGGGAGGCGGCAGCCACTGACCTCACAGCCCCGCGGACACTGTCCCGTCAGTTGTGCCCAGCTGTGTGTCTCAGGTCTTTTTAACATTGTGTGGTGGGGGTGGGGGTGGGGGTGAGAGAAAGGATGTACAGACAGATGGATGAAGGCAGGCCTGGATGGAGGAGGCAGGAGAGAAGGTCCCCTGCACCCAGTGTCCCAGCTGAGAGGGACTGGGAGAGTCTGAGACTGCGAGGTGGCTCCCCCACTGACCTGCCCCTGACATTTCCGTTAGGTCGCGTCTGCTGCACCTGGACCCTGACCCTGTCCTGGGAGCCCCCTGTCTCTGCAGCTTTATTAAGGACCTGTTAAGGTGTCTTTTCAGACCTGGGTTTCATGGCGGCTCTGGGAAAGGCTAACAATGCTGCTGTCACTGCGGACACAGGCAGAGTAGCCTCGGAGGGACTGGGGAGGGTGGGCTGACTGGAACCCGGGGCGAGGTCTTTAGTGTCACTCTGGCCTGCAAGCTTAATCCCTGTTCCTCTGCTAATTGGCTGTGTGGCATTGGGCGGCTTGCTTTCCTTCTCTGGCGCGAAGGTTCCTGTCCAGGTAGAAGAGGGTGAGAGCCAGCTCATGGGGGGATCTACTGAGCTGTAGGCCAGGACGCAGCCTTGGCAGGGCCTCCCACATGTGAGACTTCATCTTGTTCACGGGACAGCAGGTGTTGACTGCCCAGACTTTATGGATGAGGAGACTGGGGCTAACGGGGAGACGGGGCCAGTCAAAGCCACACGGGCAGGCAGGGCCGGGGCCGGTATTCAAACACAGACACCGGCCACTGACTGGGAACAAAGCCTGGGGCTGGTGGGCGGGGCTGGAGGGGCTTCTCACACCAGCTCCTCCTCCAGGTGACAGCCCAGAGGAGGGGAGGGAGGCTGGGACAATACTGCTGATTTATGGTTCCACCGCGATTAACCACACCATCTGGATGGCACACGCCTGCCTAGTGAGTGAGGCCCCCAGCCCTGACATCAACGGCAGAACGGGACAAGGGAGAGGCTAGACAGACCTCCAGCTCGGGCATGGTTCACATATCCTTGAAGCCCTACCCTCCTGGTGACCCCTCACTCCACCAGTGGCCACCACCAAGAGCACGAGTCTCCCTGCTGGCCTCAGAAAGGAGGCGTGGGTGTCCTGATTCAATACAAAGGGAAGGCTCTGGATAGAGCCGCCGAAGTGGGAAGGGCTGGGCGGGGGTGGGGTGGGGTGGGGTGGGAGGGGGTGGGGTGTGGGGTGACATGTGACAGTAGCACACACAGCGTGATGCCTGCCCTCCTGCGGGTGTGACAGACGCCTGCCTGTGCTACCTTCTAGCTCATCCTGGCAAGGGACTTCAGTCTTCGGGGTTCTAGCCCCCAGTCTACACGAAAACCTATATGCATTAACAAGAGGATGGGACCACCGTGCGTCAGCCAGAGAAACCTCCTTTCTGGGAAGCCAGCGGGACCGCGGGAAGCCGGGAAATGAAACTTACCTAGCTGGTGGCAAACACCATTTTCTCCCTGTAATGATGGGGTAACATATGGACCATCGTGGTATCTGCCTCTCCGGGCTGGTCTGAGGATCAAATTAGATAAAGGACATACAGACCTCTGTCTGGGCCAACTGAGCAATCAGTAGCTGCTCTGACCACTTTCTGTCTGCCAGATGGGAAAACTGAGGCCAAAGGAAGGTAAGTTGCCTGCCTCAGATTCCACAGGGGCTTGGTAGCAGAGCCCAGGGTCCACCATGCTTCTTGATCCCTCAAGCCTGTACCCAGGATTCATTTACCAGAAGACAGTGAACAAACCCCTTCCAGCTCCAATAAAGAGGCCCCAGGTTCTGAGAACCCATCTCCTATGGAAGCCTTATACATCCCTCAAGGGACAGTCACAAGCCATGAGGACCCGCCCAGTCCTCATGATCTCAGTTCTCACATCTGCTTTGGCCTCAAGGACGGGGCCTTCTGATCCCATCTCCCCACATTTTCGTGGCTTCCCCTAAAGAGAGAGTTAGCCATGACCCAAGACTTCCTTGGTGGATGAGGTGGCTTGGGACACCAGGCTCTGCTTCAGGACAAGTGCACCCCTCTATCTCTACAGGGTGATGGAGGGAATGTGCTGGAGTCTCCTTGGTCTAGACAGTGGGCTGGCTGGCCAGGAGTCCGAAGCAGCCCACCGGCTCCCTTCACGTCACACGACCAACCTGTCGGCTGCACACATAAGCCCACCCTGATGAGAGCGCTCGGTAGAAACGCCCAGACAGCAGCAGCCCCCTTCTCTCTTGGCCAGAGCTGAGAAATGACAGCTGTCCTGCCCAGGGAGACCAGTCCCCATTCCAGGGGGTCCCCTCTGGGGCTCCACTCTAGGGAGCATCCTGGAGCCTGGCTGCCTGCCGGGAGCAGGGCCAGATGGAGCAGCTTTGGCTGCTGGCCTCAGCAAGCATCTCAGGCCCCGTGACCTGTCCCCTGGGACCCTCTGGCCTGGCCATCCGAGGTGACCCTTCCCCTTCCCCACAGAAGCCCAGACCTCTGACCCTTATTAAAAACAAACCAAACAGAATCTACAGAGAGGAAAATTCTCCACAAACGGCCTCAGATGTAATCACGTGTGTACACACACACACACACACACACACACACACACACACACCAGCTTCAGACCCCCAAGGCTGCAGCCACTTCCACATAAACAAGCTATTATGGGGTGTGGGGGAGGGCTTTTGTTATGAAACATCTAGGCTTCCCTCAACTTTTTGGGGAGAACGCTGTTGCTTTTTGGCACACGAGGGGACCTGGAGGGTGCCAGGGTTTCTGTGTTCTATGCAGGTTGCATCTGGCAAAGGGTGACGCGTGGAAAAGGGGACCCGGAGGGAGGAGGCATCCCTGGACGTCACCGGGAGCCCCACCCACGGCGAGGGCAGCCCGGACCCGGCTCTGCTGTCACTCAGAACACGTCGGGGACCCTGGTGCCCACGTCCCTGCCGGCCCTCTGTAGGTTTGGAAATCATCTCCTCTGCCAGAAGCCGGCGCAGAGCGGCTTCCACGACAGAAAACGGACCCTCGGGTCGCTCCGGTCCCCACTGGCCGCCCCCGGGGCTGCGGGGCGAGGCAGGCGCGCTCGCCGCACCGCGCCTGCGCCAGCCGGCCGAGCAGGAGGCCGCCCGCGCAGCCCCGCTCCCTCCCGGTCGCCGTGGCAACGGGCTCGCGGGGGGAGGGGCCGCGCCGCGGCGGCTGCTATTTCTGCCGCTTCCTGTTCCTCGCGGCCACGTCGCCATGGCAACCGAGTTACTCAGCTCGGCCGCCTCCCGGCCCGGCTGGCGCGCGTGACCCCGGCCACTCGCGCCCCCTCGTCCCCCTCCCGCACCCTGCCCGGTGCCCGCGGCCGGCAGGGAGGCAGATTGATGGGCGACGCTTATTAAAACACAGTGGAAGCGTTTCCGTTTTTATGACGCTGACGAGGCAGCGTTATTTACTGTTATTGTTCGCCCTGGCCGCCCGGGAGCTCACCTTCGGCTCGTCCCGGGACGGCGCGTGGCACCCCGGGGTCCCCCTATTCTCGCCCCTTCCCCCTGCGACAGCCCGCGGAGAGGGACCGCACAGGCCCGGTAGCTCATGCTTGAAGGAGAAAAAGGCAACAAAAAAATAAATAAATAAATAAAAGAGGAGCAGATGACTTCATTCTTGGGAAGGCCAATTTCCTGGGGACGCTGGTGGAAACAGCCCCCGAGCCGCTGGATGCTCACAATACTAAGCCAGATGGAGACCAGAAAATTCTCGGCCCTGCCTGAACGTGTGACCCCAGGCTAGGCAGCCAGGCAGTAACAATTCGGCTACCCTGTAGGGCTTAGCTTCCCAGATCCCATCATTTGTCCCAACCTTCCCACTTAGCCTCCTCTTCCTGAGAGGGTGAGGAACCGACCCAAGGTCACACAGCCCAGTGCGTGATTTTTCTGCTTGGGGCCTCTGCAGGGAGGGAACCAGCGAGTACTGTTGAGCCAGAGAGGCAGCCGTTCGACCTGGGGTTCTTTGAAGCCAGGCTCAGCTTCGAGGCAGGCGAATAGAGATTAACTCAGCACGCGCAAGTCTGGCTGTGCAGTCTCCTCCAGCACATCCTGCACAGGGGTGCCCTTCACCCTTCACGGGGAGGGGGGTGTCTACTGGGATCAGATAGGCCTGAAGGAGGCCCCCACCCCAATCCTCTGCTAGGATGTTAATCTCACCAGGCTAATTAAAGTTTGCAGTTCTGCCCACCCCCAACCCAAGGCTCCCAGGTTGTTATTAGCCCAAATGCAAACAGTTATGACTCTGGTCCTGGACAGAGAGGCCAGTAAGAGTGGACAGAGGGGATGGGCCTCTGACACAGGAAATGGACCTTTTATTAAAAAAAAAAAAAAAAAAAAAAAAGATTGCACATACGAACCGCCCGAATGAATGACCCGGGTTGTTTGGTCCTGTGGTACTGGGAGGAGCCCAGGGCCTCCAGCAAAGACAGCCCTCTACCTCTAGACCACATCCAGCCCTTGCCTTGACCCATGCTTTCAGAAACCAAGTCTGGTCCTCCTGAGTCTGTCGCCGGGTGCAGTTTGATTTGATTGCCCTTACAAGGTCAGAGCCGTGGGCCCTGGGACTCCTGGTCATTTCTTGGTAATTAGCAAGGGCTCCTTCCGACCCACGATCACCTTCCCAGACACTCTAGAGTCCAGTGCTCACGGCCACTTCCGAAGCTGCCGGGGGCATCGCAGAAAGCGATCTTCAGCTCTGCTGGGAGTTGTTGGCCTGAAGTCAGAACAGTCAAGTCCCCTAGAAGTGCTTAGAAAGTGTCCTTGCTGACAGCCTAGGATAGGGGCAGGCTGGGGAAAAGGGGGTGAGCAGACTCTCACACTACTGCAAGTTACCAGTGTGAACCCCACAAACTCACCCCTCAGAACAAGCTGCCCTGAACAGCAGGCACTAAGGACGCTATCTATGCCTCTGGGCAGTACAGGGCAGGAATACACGCAGTCATCAAGCTGCCGAGCTGGCGGGATTACCCCCAAACAGCTGCCCGCCTGCCTTCTTGACACTTGAGCAAGCTAAGACCCCAAGGGGCAGACTGGCTTACTCAGTGGCACACCTCGAGTGAGACCCCAGAGTTCGCCTCCCCTTGACTCGCCTTATGACGATTGTTTCTTCTGTGAAGTGTTCAGAGGCCGAGGCAGGACAAGCAGAAGAGTCAGGGGCACAGACTACATGGGACCTCCAAGGGACACCTTTTCGTTCTCTGAACTCCCAGTGCCATGTGTTGAAGTCAATGCCATGTGCCCAAAGGTGTTCTGAGGAGCACAGCACAGGTAAAGGGTCTGGGCTAGTAGTACTGTGTCCCCAAGTGCATGTGTCCTCAAAGGTACGTCTCTGTATTAGCCCAGGAGGCTGTGAATTTGACCTTACTTGGTAAAAAGAGCCTTTGCAGAAGAGGGCATCAGATTCCCTAGGACTGGAGTTACAGACGGCTGTAACCTCCATGTGGGTGCTGGGAATCGAAGCCTGGTGCTCTGCAGGAGCAGCCAGTGTTCTGAACTGGGGAGCCGTCTCTCCAGCCACCATCTCTTGTTTCTTTCTTTTTTTGGTTCTTTGAGATGGAGTTTCTCGGTATAACTTTGGAGCCTGCCCTGGAACTCTCTCTGTAGACCAGGCTGGCCTCAATATCACAGAGATCCTCCTGCCTCTGCCTCCCGAGTGCTGGGATTAAAGGTGTGCACCACCGCCGCCCGGCTCTCTTGTTTCTCATAAGGACATTTGTGACAGCATTTATGCCCAAGTGGTTAATTCAGGATGCTTCAGGCATGTGATGGTGCACAGACACACGTGCAGGGAAAACACACATAAAATAAAGCAAGACAATTTAAAATAAGTGTAAAACGCAATGAGATGGCTCAGCGGGTGAGGTAACTTGCCCTGGGACTGGCAAGCCGAGTCGAAGCTGGGATACACACAGCGGAACCGGCGGTCATCTGACTTCTGCCCATGCACACATGCATGTGATGTGTGCACACACAAATAAACACATAGATGGAGGGAAAAAGAAACAGGAGCAGGGGCCAGATTTGGACTGAGGCAGAGAGGGAAGTGGTACAGCACAAGCCACGGAGTGTCTGGAGGAGGCAAAGAAAGCTCCTCTCCAAAGCCTGGATCGGCAGCACGGCTCTCCCGACACCTGATTGCCATGCAGCCTCCAGAGCTGGAAGAGAATGTGCGCCATTAAATCCACCAGGACTAACACTACTCCAGAGATGATGTGGAGGTATGAGGATGGGGTGGTGGTCATGTGATGACGGTAGTAATAATGGTGGTGGTGGTGATGACCATGATGGTTATGCTAATGGTAATAGTGGTGGTGGGTGATGGTGGTGGTGGTAGGGTGATGGTTGTGATGGTGGTGGTGGTGGTGGTGGTGTGGTGATGGTTGTGGTGGTGGTGGTGGTGGGATGATGGTTATGATGGTTGTGATGGTGGTGGTGGGGTGATGGTTATGGTGGTG